GTGAAAAAGGAGCTGATGAGCTTGTTTGAGATGTCTGATCTTGGTCAAGTATCTTTCTTTATGTGAATTGAGATAAATCAGAGTAAAGGGGAGATTTTTCTGTGCCAGAGGAAGTATCTCTCTGAAATATTGAAGAAGTTCAAGTTTGATGGCTGTAAGAGTGTGAGAACACCCATGAACATGAAGGAGAAGTTAGTGATTGAAGAAACAGAAGAAGAGGTTGATGAAAGGAACTATCGAAGCTTGGTTGGATGTCTGATGTACTTAACAGCATCTAGACCAGATGTGTTGTTTGCTGTTAATGTACTTTCGAGGTTTCTGAATAATCCAAGGAGGAGTCATTTGGTGGCAGCTAAAAGGGTGTTGAGATATTTGAAGGGAACACTTGATTATGGTGTTCTGTTTAAGTCGGATTTTGAAACCGATTTGGTTGGGTTTGCTGATAGTGATTGGGCTGGTTCAACTCAAGACATGAAGAGCACCTCTGGTTTCTGTTTCATGCTTGGTTTAAACTGTTTTTCGTGGAGCTCTAAGAAGCAGGAGGTGGTGGCTGAGTCAACTGCAGAGGCGGAATTCATTGCCACAACTGCAGCAGCAAACCAAGCAATCTGGCTCAGAAAAATTCTGTGTGATTTGGGTTTCAATCCAAGGATTCCAACTCAGATCAATGTGGACAATCAGGCAGCTATTGCCATTTCGAAGAATCCTGTTTTCAACGTGATGTCCAAGTTCATATTCAAAAAAGCTAACAAATACTTTATTTCTGCACCTAATTTTTTATATGGAGAGTATTAAAGATTGCATTATTGCTTTGTTTTTATAGAATGTGTTAGTGCAAAGTACAGTTTTTTTGTCGAATTAAGTTTTCTTCTTTCAAAATTGTTTGTCCTTAACCTCTCTTACTTTGAACTAGATGCCATGCAAAGTATGATTTTAACAATTTGGTTTTAGGGTATCTCAATTTGGTTATACACATTCACGTGTTTTGTCTGATATTTCTGTTTTTTCCATCAACCTATTTGTTTCTGTTGTCTTCTGGGTGGACAAATCTTATGGCAATTAACTGTTGACTTTCAGATAACCTCGAAACTGCTAAAGCTATCGCACTGGAGATGGAGATGTAAACTCTCTCACAAAACGAAACTCTAAATTTCACAAACAAACTCACACACATACACATAAAATTCTGCTCTCAAAACAGAACCCAACACACTGCAGAAGTCTCCAAATTGATGTAATGAATGTTGTACGGAACAATACAATTTCCAATTCAAACATTCATTCATACAGAACTCAAACGTAAATTTTACATGTATATAGAAAAAAACAAACTGCAACTAGGAAGTTATAAAGCACTCATCAATATAGTTTCTTATCTAAACCATCTCTGTAGACCAGGAGTCAGAGTGCTGGTGTGAAGGTACTTCATTTAGTTTGAATGGCACCAAAAGTAGGAATTCAATAATTTAGTTTTAGGGTAACTGAACTATATATGCATTCATGTGTTTTTTTTTTTCTGATATTTTCGTATTTTCCATTAACTTGTTTGTTTTTGCTGCATGCTGGGTGGGCAATCTTGTAGCACTAAATTGTGGACTTTCAGGTTCGAATGGTTACTAGTGACAACCTCCAACCTGTCAAAGCTATTGCGCTGGAGTGAAGAATATTAACGTATGGTAAATAAGCCATTTTTTACCATTTCTGTTATATGCATTAGGGAGAGACATACATCTGGAGGTTCGTACTCTCCATTTTTTATCATTCCTGTTATATGCATTATGTTAATTCCTTTTGTTTACACTTTATAGAGGGGAGTAATTCACAGGGGATAAGAGGTGGTTGACGAATTGAAATTTCAATATATGAAATTGTGGTGGGTGATGTTTTTCTCCCTACATTGGTAATCAGGTTAGTGATAGATGCTACTCCTTTTGCTATTTTTTCCTGGTGTGTCATAGTTTATCTGCAACATATATACATTTTGCTGTTTGAAAAATATTGTGTAGATTCCAACGAATTAATTATTATATCAGGCCACTCGCTTGATCTCGATGATTCTAGGAAAAATGTATGTCTGTGTTGCCAATGATAGTGAAGTCGGTTATCTTCTTTTAAACTGAGTTGTGATAATCTGTGTCGGTATAAAGGTGAAACAACTAACAAATACTTCGTTTCTATAGGCTGTTTTATATGGAGAGTAGTAAAGATTACATTATTTCGAAGAATGTTTCATGGCCAGCTTTCCTTTTATGATGTTAATGTTGTTGTTCTCATCATTAACATTGTAGCGGTAGTTTCAAGTAGTGATGTCCCACTCAAAGCTGTGCAGGTTCATTATTGCTTTGTTTTTATAGAATGTGTTAGAGCAAAGTATAATTTTTTTTTGTTGAATTAGTTTTCTTCTTTCAAAATTGTTTGTCCTTAACTTCTCTTACTTTGAACTAGATGCCATGCAAAGCATGATTTTAACAATTTGGTTTTAGGGTATCTCATTTTGGTTATACACATTCACGTGTTTTGTCAGATATTTCTGTTTTTTCCATCAACCTGTTTGTTTCTGTTGTCTTCTGGGTGGAAAAATCTTATGGCAATTAAGTGATTAACTATTGACTTTCATGTTCGAATGGTAACTCACGATAACCTCGAAACTGCTAAAGCTTTCGCACTGGAGATGGAGATCCACTGAACCTAATCTCACTGAAAGAAAAGCTTTTTGATTCTTATCTGATTCCGAGAGAGAAAAGATAGCCGAAGAAAAAAAATCGATGTGCAGGTGAGGAGGCTTTCTGCATGTGAGACGATGGATTGTGCCACCACTATTTGCAGAAATAAAACCTGAAAATTAACTTGTTCTCTGCACTAGAATTTCTGCATGTGAGACAAGCATTTGTATCCCGCCGACCAGGAACAAAGTTTTCGTGCCGAATCTATCCACCACGAGCATCGATACGAACATCGAAGCCATGCCCACGATTCCCGTCACCACGGCCGACCTCAGGGACGCGCTCTCGTTGAATCTGACGGTTCTGAAAAGAATCGGAGCATAGAAAGCGATCATGTTGATGCCAGTGACTTACACAAACGGGTTGTCTGCGTAATCAGTCTTGATCTCAGAGCCAGCTCTGACGAGATCGGAGAGCTCGTCTCCGACATCGGGGGTTCCCCAAACACGGCGGAGCACGAGCTCGGCGTGGCAAACATCGCCGGTTCTCTGGATCATGCTGTTGGGAGTCTCCGGCAAGAAGAGCGAACCGAGTATGAGAATGGAAGCGGGAACAGTAGCCATGGCTGAGGAGATTCTTGTTTGACCCGAGACAAGGATCAGTGGCACTTCGGTGTGGGTGAGTGAGCCCTCAAATTCAACTAGAAACTTCTGTTTCAGAAAACACAGAAATAGAGAAGAAGAAATTCAAGAATACTCAATAATCCCATTAAACTAGAAATGATTACATATATAGAAAAGTAGTAACTTAAGAACAAAAACAAAAATCAAATCAACCTTTAAATCTGCTAACCAAATCAATTCAAATAAACTATCCTAAAATCTTGCAAAGATAGAAAAGGAAAGATGATAGGGTCAGATTTTGACAGAATCTGGAAACTGATCCTTTTCAGCCTTGAGTCACGTTTGAACTACCAATCTCCTCCTTGACGAAAGGCCTTGAGTACACACCGATCATTCTCCTCAGCTATTCGAATCTTCCGACATGAAAACTCTTTGTAAACAAATCCGCACATTGCTCCTCTGTTCTGCAGTGAACTATATTCACTTCTCCCTCTTCTTGAACTTGTCTGAGATAATAAAACTTGATTTTGAAGTGTTTAGTTCTCCCATGGAACACTGGATTTTGAGAAATCAAAATAGCTGCCTGATTATCAACAAATAAATCAGTAGCTTCCTCACACTTCAAGAACATATCCTCCAACAGTTTTATGATCCACACAGCATGGTTTGCTGCTGCAGTGGCCGAGATAACTCAGCCTCGACTGTTGATTGTGCTACGACAGTCTGCTTTTCGAGCTCCACGAGAAGCAGCCTGAACCGAATGAGAAACAGAATCCCGACGTGCTTCTCATGTCATCGACACAACCAACCCAGTCACTGTCGGAGTAACCGACCAAACCAAACTCTTCACATCTGGAAAATCTTATTCCAAATGTCTGAGTACCTCTTAAGTATCTGAGGACTCTCTTTGCCGCCACCCAATGCTCCTTCTTGGCACAATTCAGAAATCTCGAAAGTGTATTTACAACAAACAGGATACCAGGCCTTGTTGTTGTTAAATACATCAAGCATCCAACCAAGCTTCTATATGTTCCCTCCTGAACTTCTTCACTCTCATCTGATTTTTGCAGCTTGGAATTTGGATCCATTGGAGTTCTCATTGCCTTGCAATGTTCCATCTTGAATCTGCTCAGAATCTGTTTGAGATACTTCTCTTGGCATAGAAACACTTCACCAGATTTCTGTCAGATTTCGATCCCAAGAAATTGTGCCATCATTCCCAAATCTGTCATCTCGAACTTCTTGCACAACATTCTCTGCAACTCACCGATTTTCTCAGCTTTATCTCCTGTGACAAACAGATCATCAACATAGAGTGATATGATCACAATTCCAGCTTTACCTCTCTTCACATACCGAGTATGTTCACTCAAACTTCTGATAAAACCCAATTCTCTGAGGTAGCCATCAATCTTCGCATACCAAGCTCAGGAGCTTGTTTCAAGCCATAAAGCGTCTTTTTCAGTAAATACACCTTATCCTCTTGGCCCTTAATCTGAAACCCTTGCGGTTGCTCGATATAAGTCTCCTCTTTCAGATCCCCATTCAGGAACGCATACTTGACATCAAGATGATTGACTATCCACTCCTTCTGCACTGCAATGACCAGCAACATCCTGATCGTGTCAAGCCGAGCAACAGGGGCGAAAGTTTCTGAGTAATCAACTCCCCACATTTGTGAATTCACCACAAGCTATGCTTGTTTATAGAACCATCAGGATTTAGTTTGGTTCTATAAACCCACTTGACTCCAATAATTTTCTTCCCTTTCGGTCTTGGAACCAAAACCCAAGTCTGGTTCTTTTCTATCATCTTGAGCTCCTCCTTCATTGCATCTCTCCAACTCTTATCATTTCTAGCTTCTTCAAAGCTAGATGGCTCAAGAACAACCACATTACATCTGTGATAGATGTCTTGCAAAGTTCTTGTACCTCTCACAGGAAGATCATCGCCAGATTCAGCATATTCAACCTCCACAATCTCATCGCTGTTCTGCCCATGATTTTCATATTGCTGAGCTTGAGGTTCAGCTTCACCAGTGAGTGGCCCTTCGGTTTGAGTGAATGGCTCATCCTCACCGAAGTCTTGCCATTTCCATCCTTCAGACTCAACAAACTTGACGTCTCTACTCACAATCATCTTGTTCAGAACTGGTAAAAACACTCTATATGCCTTTGACGCAAGGCTATATCCCATAAACACACCTTCTGCAGCTTTTTCATCCAACTTATCTCATTTTGCCTCTGCGATCAACGAGTAACAGAGACAACCAAACACTTTAAGATTAACCACAGAAGGTTTCTTACCAGTCCACATCTCAAATGGAGTTTTAGACACCAAGGCTTTAGTTGAGAGCCTATTCTGCAGAAGTACTGCCGTCGAACACGCTTCTGCCCAAAACTTCTTTGGCAGGCTTTTCTCCTGAAGCAAACATCGAGCCATCTCCACAATAGACCTGTTCTTCCTTTCGCTTACTCCGTTCTGTTGAGGCAGGTAAGGAACGCTAAACTGCTGTTTGATTCCAGATTCTTCGCATATAGCTCGAAACCTTGAGGATGTATATTCTGAGCCATTATCAGATCTGATAATTTTCATCTTACAACCACTCTCATTTTCAACCTCAAGTTTAAACTTCAAGAAGATTCCATCAGTTTCAGATTTCATCTTCAAGAAGAAAATCCAGCAGAATCTCGAGTAGTCATCAATAAAGATCAAGAAATACCTGTTACCAATCAAGGAAGGAATAGGCATCGGCCCACACAAGTCTGTGTGTATCAACTTTAATTTCTCCTGTGCTCTCCAAGTGGAAGCTTTGAATGGTAATCTCCTCTGTTTTCCAAGAGCACAAGCTCTGCAATCAAGTATCTCTCTGCAGGTTTTAGGAAGACCTTGAACCAACCCTTTCTTCATCATATTCAGCACTCCCTTTCTATGAAAATGGCCGAGTCTCTTGTGCCAAAGCTAATCTTCGGTCACTTGACTCTGCAATGCATCGTGTGTTTCATTTTCAAAAGAAAATAGGAAGGCTTTACCTCTCATAGGTATCCGAAACAATACAGGAGTTGTTTCAGACCCAATGATGCATTCATTCTTGTCAAAAATGACTTTGTAGCCTTTGACCACCAACTGAGGTACACTTAGGAGATTCTGATCTAACTTTGGCACATACAACACTTCTGTCAACAGCTTCTTAGTGCCATCTAAACCTCTGATCCAGACATCTCCCTTTTCTTCTACTGAAATGAACTCGCCATTTCCAATTCTCACTTTTGTTTTGAACATCATGTCGATCCACTTAAATAAGTTTCGATCTCCTGTCATGTGGTTAGTACAACCACTATCCACTAGCCAACCATCTCTAACAGAACATGAAACATAGCATGATGCAACAAACATACTTTCAACATCGCCTTTGTCCTCTTCAACCTCTCTTATTGCTTGAGCATTCTTGCTTTTGCATAATCGCTCAATGTGCCCAGATTTACCGCATCCTCGACATTTGATGTTAGGATTCCTCCAACATCTCCAATGCGGGTGCCCTTTCTTCTGACAGTGCTTGCAAGGTTCGGTGAAGCCTCGCTCAACATTGTTTTCACCTTCAGGGACCGTCATTTTGCTTTGGGATGTATCCGTTCTCCACTTCTGATTTTGCTTTTTCCCTTTCTCAGGCCATTTCCCTTTGACCCTGGCTTTCATAGCTCCCTCAACTGACTCCTCCTTTCTCATCAATCTTCTCTGCTCTTGTGCTTGAAGGGCACTAAGGACTTCCGGCAGTTTCAATTCTGACAATTCCTTAGTGTTCTCCAAGGAAGCAAGGGTTGCTTGAAAACGCTCTGGAACATAAACCATCACCTTCTGAACTATCTTCTCATCAGTCATTTCAGTGCCCAAGATCCTTATCTTGCTCACAATATTGATCAGACGATCAACATAAGCCTTCACCGTGTCATCGGGCTTCATCTGCTGTCGCTCAAATTCTCAAAGCAGGTTCAAGACCTTCATACCCCATATCTTCTCATCTCCTTCATATTCTTTCTTCAGAGAATCCCACATCTCCTTGGCATTGGTCATGTTCATGATCTTAGTAAAGATAAACGATGGTATCGAGGCAAAGAGGCATGACATAGCCTTACCTTTCCTCGTTACCTTATCTCTATAGATCTTCATCTGGTTCAGCGTCGGATTTGCTCCTAAAGGAGTCACCTCGTAGTCTTCTTCGACGGCTTCCCACAGATCTGCACCCTTCATGTATGCCTTCATCTTCACAGCCCACATCTGATAGTTTTCTCCATCAAAAACTGGAGGAGAATTCGAATCCATCGTCAGCTTTGATAACCCTCAGATCCCTATAGAATCAACGGCGCTCTGATACCACTGTTTGACCCGAGACAAGGATCAGTGGCACTTCGGTCTGGGTGAGTGAGCACTCAAATTCAACCAGAAACTTCTGTTTCAGAAAACACAGAAACAGAGAAGAAGAAATTCAAGAATACTCAAAAATCCCATTAAACTAGAAACGATTACATATATAGAAAAGTAGTAACTTAAGAACAGAAACAAAAATCAAATCAACCTCTAAATCTGCTAACCAAATCAATTCAAATAAACTATCCTAAAATCTTGCAAAGATAGAAAAGGAAAGATGATAGTGCCAGATTTTGACAGAATCTGGAAACTGATCCTTTTCAGCCTTGAGTCACATTTGAACTAACAATTCTCCAGCCGAATCCTTGTTTGATCTTCTGGGTCCCGTAGTTGATGAGATTCGCCGTTAGGGCTCCGATTCCGATGCTGAGTTGGAAACCGGTGTTGAATGCTCCTCTGTACCTCGTCGGAGCCATCTCCAAGAGATACAAAGGGACTGATTGCAAGAACAAAGCTGAGGGAAGCATGACGATGAAACCATGAAAATCGTGCATCAAAGTTTATCAGAGTATAATGTATATGAGGTGTAAACCTCATAATGAAACAGAAGCTTTGTATTCGAAACTCTGTATTTAAACTCAACTCCCTGTACATTTTTTGGTAACAGAGTAAATACAACTTGTATTTTCTCTCTCTACATGTTCTCTCTCTATAACAAATGCTCTCTTTCTCAATCATACTTTTGGCAATCTGATATGGTATCAGAGCAGTGAAATTGCTCCGCACCGATCTTTCTTGATCTTTTCCAGATTAGTTTTTTTTGTTTCATCATCTTCAGTTCTCTGCGATTTCGTCAGTCTTGAAGAATTTCATCCATGGAAGAACCTTTCGAAGATCTTGAAGAATTTCCTGAGGTACCTACCACCAATCACTATTATCTCGGGTCGAGTGATCATACAAATGTCATTCTTGTTTCGGATAGATTTAATGGACCAGAGGAGTTCAGTTCTTGGTATCGCTCTGTTTCAATGGCATTAGAAGGAAGAAACAAATTGTGTTTTGTCGATGGATCCTTACCTAGACCACTTGAGAATCATCCAAATTCTAGGTTATGGTCTCGGAACAATGCAGTAGTTAGTTCTTGGTTGATGCACTCAGTCTCGAAGACGATTGCACCAAGTTTACTCCATATCTCTACAGCACGAGGTATCTGGAATAATCTGATTCGACGTTTTAAACAAAATCATGTTCCTCGAAGATATAGCATTAGACAGCTACTCCGATCTTTGTGTCAAGGATCGTCGGATGTTAGTACATACTACACGAAGTTGTTTACCCTATGGGAAGAATTGAAATCAGTGAAGAGCACACCAAAATGTACTTGTGGAGGATGCAATTGTGAACTTGATCAGAAGTGGTATGATCATCATGAAGAAGACTTTGTCATTGAGTTTCTCTTTGGCCTCAATGATTCATATGAATCTATAAGAGGACAAATCATCATGCTAGATCCTTTACCTGATCTGGAGAAGACCTACAATCTGATTATACAACACGAGCAACAGAGAATGATCAAGATTCCGAATGTTAATGATTCCCATGTCTTTCAAGCTTCAGTAAATCCTGCTGAGAATGTTGTTGCAGCAGTTTCTGGGGGAAATTTCAGACCAAGACAGAGACCTCTATGTACTCACTATAGACTTTATGGACACATGGTAAAGAAGTGTTACAAATTACATGGATATCCACCGGGTTATAAACAAACGGCTCCAGTAGTAATGCCAAGACCACCAGCGTCTAGACCTCCTTTTCAGCCACAATCTATCAGGCCATATACATATCAGTCTCCACACCTCAATATCGACCTCAATATCAGAAGCCTGTTGTTGCATCAGTTCAGACTATGCATGTTGTTGCAGATTCGAGCAGAAGCCAACTTTCTCCTATATCAGAATTACCAGCAGACCAAATTCGTCAACTATATGAACAACTTTCTGACAAAATGGCATATGTGAATGCGACCATCACTGCTGATGGAGCAGCAGAACTACAACCCTCTTCGTTTGGTATGCTTTCTACTCATATATGTTCCAGTTCTTTACACGCAAATTTTATGCCTGCTGGTAAATGGATTGTCGATTCTGGAGCTTCGACACATGTTTGTGCGAATAGGGATTTATTCTTGGATCTTTGTACTATTTCTTGCCATTGTTTACGATTGTTCACGTGCCACATGGGTTTACTTTTTACATAATAAAAGTGATGTGTTGCTTCTGTTTCCTTCTTTTATGGCCATGATAGAAACTCAGTCCAATGCCAAAATAAAGATCATTCGTTTAGATAATGCATTTGAATTGAAATTTACAGAGCTATGTCGAGAAAAAGGGATTATACATCATTTCTCATGTGTCAACACACCAGAATAGAACTCAGTAGTAGAGAGAAAGCATCAGCATATATTGAATGTTGCGAGAAGCTTACTGTTTCAGTCGAGAAGTTGCCACTCAGTTATTGGACAGAATGTGTTCGTAGTGTTGTATATCTGATCAACAGGATTCCATCTCCTCTTTTGAATCAGAAATCACCATATGAAGTGTTAAATGGTAAATTGTCTACATATTCTCATCTTCGGATATTTGGGTGCTTATGCTACAGCACCACTTTTCAGAAAAACAGGACAAAGTTTTCTCCTAGAGCTAGAGCTGCAGTATTCATTGGATACCCACTTGGAGTCAAGGGCTACAAACTATTGGATCCTAAAACTCATGAGGTATATGTTTCTAGAAATGTCGAGTTCCATGAAACTATTTTTCCATTTCATTCTATTCCCTCTACTGATAACCTGTCATCTGATGATATATTTCCTACAACCATATTACCACTACCCATTCCTGCTCCGATTGAACCAGTAACCACTTCAAATCCTCAATCCACATTTGAACCTATCCAGCCACCTAATGTTCATAGATCTGAACCTAGTCATTCCAGACCACATCGAGAAATCAGAACCTCAGCTTACCTTTCTGACTATCAGTGTTATGCTACACAGCATAATACTATACACCCTTCCATTACTACACCTTATCCCTTATCTTCATATGTTGACTATCAGAAACTATTACCATTATACCATAAATATATCCTAAACCTTAACCTTGAAACCGAACCTCGACATTTCAAAGAAGCTATCACATCACTTGAATGGCAGAGAGCTATGACTGAGGAGCTATCTGCATTAATACAGAATGATACTTGGTCGATTGTATCACTTCCGAAGGATCATAAACCAATTGGGTGTAAGTGGGTCTACAAGATAAAGCGTAAACCAGATGGTTCAGTTGACAGATATAAGGCACGTTTAGTCGCCAAAGGCTATACACAGCAAGAAGGTGTTGATTACACAGATACTTCTCACCTGTTGCGAAACTTGTCAATGTCAAGGTGCTTCTGGCTCTTGCAGCTTCTTAGAACTGGTCCCTATCTCAAATGGATGTTTCCAATGCATTTCTACATAGGGATTTGGATGAAGACATCTATATGAGTCTACCACCAGGTTTCACACCTAATAGAAGTACTAGTCTTGTGGAAAAACCAGTCTGTAAACTTCAGAAGTCGCTATACGGTTTGAAGCAAGCTTCACGACAATGGTACTAGAAATTCTCCTTTGTTCTGTTAGGGGCAGGGTATCAGCAATCTCAGATCATTCTTTGTTTGTACAGAAGAAAGGTGATTCTTTTGTTGCTTTGTTAGTATATGTGGATGACATTGTCATTGCAAGTACCAATGACAATGCAGTGGCTGAGGTGAAGGACTTGCTTCGACGAAACTTTAATATCAAGGATTTAGGACCATTGCGATTCTTTTTGGGTTTGGAAATAGCGCGATCATCCAAAGGAATCTCAATCTACCAGAGAAAATACTGCCTCGACCTACTTTCAGAAACTAGTTTATCTGGCTGTAAACCAGTATCTGTTCCCATGGATCCAAATGTACATCTCAGCAAAGAATCAGGACAACCACTTACAGATATTTCATCATATCGAGTTCTGGTTGGAAAGTTATTGTATGTTACGATCACAAGACCAGACATTAGTTTTCTGGTACACAAGCTAAGTCAATACTTGTCTTCTCCCACTGATGAACATTTAAAGGCAACACATCGGGTAATCAGGTATCTCAAAAAAATCTTGGACAAGGTTTGTTTTACTCATCTGTGTCGAATCCCAAGTTACAGGCTTTTGCTGATGCGGATTGGGGAACTTGTCCTGACACAAGGAGATCAGTCACTGGTTATCTGATTTTCTTGGGAGATTCGTTGGTCTCATGGAAATCAAAGAAACAACATACAGTTTCCAGAAGCAGAACAGAAGCAGAATATCGAGCTTTAGCTAATGCAACATGTGAGATTGTTTGGATGACGAATTTGTTATAGGAATTACAGATTCCAGTACAGTTGCCAGTGAATCTGTTCTGTGACAACAAATCAGCTTTGTATTTGGCCTCGAATGCGGCATTTCATGAGAGGACGAAGCACATAGAGTTAGATTGTCATCTTGTCAGGGAGAAATTGCGGGTAGGACTGATTAATCCGATGAATGTGAAGTCTGACAATCAGTTGGCAGATTTTATGACAAAGTCCTTACAGCCTGCTCTGTTTCATTCTATGATGGCTTGATTACAAACTTCAAGTCTATTTGTTCCTCCAAAGGAATCATAGACTTGAGGGGAGTGTACCAGAGTATAATGTATATGAGGTGTAAACCTCATAATGAAACAGAAGCTTTGTATTCGAAACTCTGTATTTAAACTCAACTCCCTGTACATTTTCTCGTAACAGAGTAAATACAACTTGTATTTTCTCTCTACATGTTCTCTCTCTATAACAAATTCTCTCTTTCTCGATCATACTTTTGGAAATCTAATAAAGTTTGAGATTTCAACTCAAATTCATGACTCTTCCCTGAAATTTACGTTTGGGTAACGTAATTTCAATTGAAACTTTTTCCAATCACCCAAAAAGGTTGAAATTTTGAAAAACTTACTCTCGTAATTCTCAGAATTAAAAACAGAGACTTTCGCAACTTTACCCAAAATCACGTGCTTTTTATTCAGGAATCGAAACACATTTTCTCGAACATAGGCATTACCTGGTTGGCAAAGCCAACATCGACACCGAGCAGGAGATGTCCAAGAATGAGCATGAACACATTCTGAGCAGCACCACTGAGAGCAGAGTCGACGAGGAAAGCAGCTCCGCCGATGACCATCGACGACTTCTGACCAAAGACACGTGTTACCGACGATGCCATTATCGACGCCACCAGTCCGGCAACGTACAGAGAGGACGTGAACGACGTCAAGAGTTGATTGTTGAACGCATAGTAGTTGCTGCTCCTCGTTCCTCTTTTCATCATCATCTTCTTGTACACTCCCGGGAAGAACTTCTTCAGAAAAGGCTCCATCGATGCCACTCCCCTTTTATTAAGATTCATTACACACAGAAAACACAACGGTGAAACATGCAGATTTTATTCGAACGTAATGAACGAGGAGAGAGATAAAACATGATGGGAACCTTGCAAATGTATGTTGCGTATGAACTTTCTTCAAAGGGAAGAAAACACTATCCGTACGACTAAACTTCCTGGATATGTGAGGAAATTCAAATTTTAGAAAGTTTATGACCAAAATCGATGAAACACATATAAATGTATGTATTCACGCAAAGCCTGTGCCATGTAAATAGATTCATCGTCTTCTGATATAAGCAAAATGTGATGTAACAAAAAACTAAAGACCGTCCAGGAACTGGAATTTCAAATTTGAGAACTGTAAACAAAAACATGTACAATCAGTACCATGAATTAGGATAGCTTGTGCATATGTATCTTAGAACAAACTGTTCACTTCTGAAACACATACAAGACATAGAACATTGCGATAAAACCTGTTATTACACACTTAGTGCCCCATGCTCTGTCGATTATTACAACATAGAGTCATGCTCTTAGACGCTAATGCTTAGGTTCTGCTAGTGGGTATGAACAAAACTCGATCTTTCCCATACAAAGTGCTTACAGAGAAGGGAAGACTCCTTATGCATATACAACGAAGAATCTAACCATGCAAATCAATCATTGGAGAAACAATCCAACATGGTCCTTTCTTTCAACCTCCAATGGAGATTCTCTATTGATCTCAAAAACATCTACTACATGCAGAATTTATGGAAAAGTGAATATATATATTCGACTTAAATGAAACTTGCTCCTCGAATTATGACTACACGAGCAAGGCAACTCGCAAATAACAATGTATTACCGCGTAATCCTCTTCGGTGAGATGTCTGAAGATCCACGAATTGAATATGAACGGAATTCAACTGGACAAGAACTGCAGAGCTGATTGCGAAACACAGAGGAATGGAAAACCGATTAAGAGAACAGTTCTCGGGATATAAACCCTACCGATGGGGAAACGAACACAGAAGGTATAACTTGAATGTTCGGGCAACCGGCCATTTCAGAGTTAGTCAATGCGATTCTCCTCCCGGATCTCGCTGATTTCTGATTCTAAACCATGTTCATGGCTTTCGATTTCACGAATTAGTGGCTGACCCCATCTTTATCTGATTCTGCTCGAGAGACCCTAAAGAAAAATTCTCTCATTGGATGATTTGTCGAGTGGATTGATCTGATTAGGACGCCACGATGCGGACTTGACCCGCTGAAAGTTCTGATCTATCTCTAGTAGAAAAATTCAAAATTTATGTTTCTTCTCTGAAGGGCTTAACTGCAAACCTTCATAAATGTGAGGTTTTGTTTACAATATTTCATATAATATATGGTATAAATTTGGAAAAACATAAAAATATGAGGTCTTGAAGTGTCAATCGGATTTAGAAGCGGATATATTTTTTTTGGTTTTTTGTTTTGCAATGAAAGAAAAAGTTTCAACTTTGGAACAAGAAAGAAAACAAGTAGGCGCTAGCAGCGGGGGAGAAATGTTGAAACTGCCTATGTCTCTTTCTCCAACACCACTGGTCTCCGACCAGAACTCGTCGGGTGTCGTCGCCGTTTCATCATCTGGCTCGGCAATTGAGTCGCTGAATCTTGCTTTGCCCGAGGGTTATGGTCGGGCGACCATGTTTTCCGGTGACTCTCTCGACGTTTTCGGCGAGGAGTTTGATTGGTTTACGGTGGATAGAGGAGAAGCTGATGTTCTTATGGGCAACGGCCGTTCATGAAGTTCATGACGCTCTCGATGCACTTCGTCTGTGAGTTTTCCGAAAGATTTGTCCCTTTTGAATAACATAAGCTATGTTTTTTAATTTTGTTTAAGGAGAAAAATTCTCCAGATGTGGTTCTGTGATTTATGTTTAACATTTTAGGATGTTGAGTGGTGATACAAACGCTGATGTGGAAGATGAAGCTTCGATGTCAGAGGATGAGAACAATGACAGCTTTTTGACAGGTGGGTTAGGGTTCTTAGATTGGACTGAGCCGCCATTGAAGCTCTGCAACTCAAGATATCTGCAGCAGCTGCAGGCTTATATGCAAGACAGACTCTTTGACGCTTTTCATATGCTTCAGACCGGTCCATCAATCCAGGTAACTCTGTTTAAACTTAGCTTTCCCCATAAGATGGTTTTCCCGACATGAATCGGGACAAGAAAACCAGATCATAATGTAGACTTGTCTGTAAATTGTAGAAGAAACAAACCTCTTTTCAAGCTTGATTACTTGTAGAAACGAAACCCATTGATCCATTATTGTCTACATTGCAGATAATGGTTGTATCATTGGCATCAGACAGGCCGTATGCAATGGGGGTTATGAACAACGAGGTTGTCCGCGAACTCATAACCAATGGTAAGAAAGCTTGAGCAAGCAGCTTCTCGGAGGAAATCTACTGATTTCACCTCTCTCTCTCTATATATATATATTTATATATAGGGAAAATCCCAAAACAATTACTGAACTTGTAGATAGCTGACAGAAAAATACTGAACTTTTTCGATTTCCAAATAAAACATGAACTATAACCAATGGTAAGAAAGCTTGAGCAAGCAGCTTCTCGGAGGAAATCTACTGATTTCACCTCTCTCTCTCTATATATATATATTTATATATAGGGAAAATCCCAAAACAATTACTGAACTTGTAGATAGCTGACAGAAAAATACTGAACTTTTTCTATTTCCAAATAAAACATGAACTTGTAGATCTTAACACATTTAATACTGATCTTTTGAATTTTTGCCAAATATCCGATCGATCGTAAACGGCGTTAAAGTCAATAACGGAACGCGTGACGTGGAGCCTAATTATTGCCACGTATGATGACACGTAAGATGACACGTCGGATTTAAAAATTACAAAATAAAATTCGGCCGGTTAACATAAACCGGATCGATCCGGTTAATAAAATACATAAAATCGACCGGTTAACATAAATTCGACCGGTTTAGTATAGATTTTAATTTTAGGGTTTCAGTTTCAACCCCAAAAACTGTCGAACGATTCTCTCTCCCTCTCACCTCTCTCTCTCTCGCTGTCTCTCTCTGTTCGAAGGATCTCCGTCGACGTTCCTGTGTCGAAGCTCCTCCGTCAATCGTGGCGGCGGCGTGAAGACGACGACTTCTACTGTCGTCGACGAGTGGAAAGAAACCGTGGTGAGAATTTCTAAACTCTCTGTTCCCTTTTGCTCTCTTTGTTTTTGATTTTGATTTCAAACCCGAAATCGTTGTCGATGTCCAGATAAACTCTATTCATCAAGATTTCACATCCTGAAACCGAAAAACACCTGTATTTCGAAAAACCCCAAATTCTGAAACCCTAATATATTTCGAATTCGACAAATCCGAAACAGTTTAACCCCAAAATGACTGAATGTATTTGTTTGTTTTTCAGGTTAGACAGATTGAAAAGTGTTCGGCTTAATGGGGTAAATCTTTTATTCACATCGAGAAGCTTTGTCTTTAGGATGTTATTTGTTAGGGTTTTTTGAAGATTAACAATTTGTTGCAGGATAGTTAAGTTGAACATACATATGGGAGGATCCATGCTACATATGAATGGAGAATGGGTATATTTGGATGGCATTGTTATGGAAGGTATAGAAATAGACTCTGATTATCTTTGTTGGTTTGTGTTTGAAGATTTTGTTAAGGAGAACAAAATCAGTGCACCAATTTATGAAATGTGGTATAAATTACCACATCAGACATTGGATGAGAAGAAACCAATTAAAGAGGATGTAGATTGGGAAATTCGGGGCATGTGTGAACTTGCAGATGAGTATGGAGAAGTAGATGTTTTTATAGATCATGAGCTGTGTAACACCCGGGGTTAGAAGTGAGGGTCAGACAAGTAAGGGGGTTGATAGGAATGGTGAGGATGAGTGTGAGAGAAATGAGGGGCAGACAAGTAAGGGGGCGGATGACAATGCTCATGATGAGTGTGAGCAAACTGAGCAGCAAACAAGTAATGGGGTGGAGGACAACACTAGTGATAAGCCCGAGGGAAATCAGGGTGAGGGAGATAACAGGTTCCAAGCTCAGTTTAAGTCTGGAAAGGAAGGTCAAGCTGCAGCGGTTGAGAATGAATATGAGAGTGATAATGATTTTGTAGACAATGATGACATCTTTCCCCCTACTCCGCAAAATACCGAGGAAGAATGGAAGGATTATGAGAGAAGGATGCGACAAAAGAAGTCAACAAGACAAACAATGCCCCGAGATAAAGAGTTTTTTTTTCTTGGGTCAGACTTTCAATTCTGGAAAGGAGTTTAAAAAAGAGATATTGAGGTATGTGTTGACAACTCAACACAATATTAAGATGTCATGTTGGGGTGAAACCAGATCAGGAGCTGTATGTAGGACAGAAGAATGTCCTTGGAGAATTTATGCTTCATTGGAAAGCTCCATGAGCAAATGGATGGTAAAAGTGTTTCATCCACATCACAGCCACATTGCAAAAGATCGTGCAGATATGGTTTCGATGAGGCATATTGCTGAGTTATTTTGTGATGTTCTTAGACGGAAACACTCATCATGAGCGTTGTCATCCGCCCCTTTACTTGTCTACTCCTCATTTCTCTCACACTCATCCTCATCATTCCTATCAATCCCCTTGTCTAACCCTCATCTCTAACCTCGGGTGTTCCACTCATGATCTATATAAATATCTACTTCTCCACACTCATCTACAAGTTCACACATACCTCTAATTTTCCAATCTACATCCTCTTTGATTGGTTTTTTCTCAACCAATGTCTGATAGTGGTAATTTATACCACATTTCATAAATTGGTGCACTGATTTTGTTCTCCTTAACAAAATCTTCAAACACAAACCAACAAAGATAATCAGAGTCTATTTCTATACCTTCCATAACAATGCCATCCAAATATACCCATTCTCCATTCATATGTAGCATGGATCCTCCCATATGTATGTTCAACTTAACTATCCTGCAACAAATTGTTAATC